TCGTAGATGCGCTCGCCCTCGAAAATCGGAGGACGCAGGATCCACCTAGCCTTCGCGGTCGGGCTAATGAGCCCTTGTGACGGACGTTGTCGAAAAACGTCACGTCACAATATATATATATATATATATACGTTCCGTTCATTCTGGGAGGCGGGAAAACGCCGCGCGCGACGCGACGATAGTACGCTACGCGTACCGCGATCGTATCGCTACGCACGCTGATCGTGTCGGGTGGACGACGTTTCGCACGCCAACGCCACTACGTATCGGCCGATAACGCCAAGTTCTTAATTCTAGATTACATCCATTCGGGAGAGAGAGAGTACACGCTTGGCGAGGCGACGACGCGTCTGGCCGCGATCGCACGTCGCTACGCCGCATGCGCGCACAGGCTCGCTCGCTCGCTCGCCGATGGCTCGCTTGCTCGCTCGCGCGCGTCGGGTCGACCTTTGTCGCACGCGAACGATGGTATATGTCACGCGAACGGGTCACGATTGTCAAATCTTTCGAAATTCGTAACCATCGAGATACGCTACGCGACGACGGGTCGTTCCGATCGTACGTACGCCGCAAACACGCACAGACGCTCACTCGCTCGCTCGCAGCGGACGGATGCCAGAAACCGGATAAATCAGGATATTTTGAGAATTGTCGTTTGGGCAACAGCAAATAAACTGACTTTGAATCCAAGCGAGACTAAGACCATAATTATGGGCACAGCGAGATACGTTAATGAACCATGCAACACACACAGTTGCCACGTATTGAGGTAAATGATGACGTCGTACCCTACAGTGACTCTATTCTCTCTCTCTCTCTCTCTATATCGAGTACCTGAGAGAGGCAGGGACCGTCTCTAGGGTGAACGGAGCCCTTCATCGGCTCAAACTGCGCAAGCATCTCTTACCGCGTGCTCGATTGGTATCGGTGCTCATCTTGCCATTTTTTTTTACTGTTGCCGTTCTGCCCTTACAGACATCACGAGTGAACAGAATTTAAGGCTGCGGAGGGCTCTCGATGCCTGTGTACGTTTTTATTTATCAAGCCAGATGAGCACGTCACCCCATATTACAACCGACTTCGCTCGCCTAAGATTCGGAGACGCAGTGCGTTTTTAGGGTAAAATTGTACGAGTACTCGTTAAATTCAAATGTTTAGTATTATTGTTCTTTTCTTTTGTTATCTGCTTTGTTACACTCGGTTCACGTCGTTGATTTTTTGTCTTTGAATTCTTTGTCTTACACATGCATGTGTGCATGCACATGTACACACAACATGCACACACACAAATATACACTAAATCTTACGTATATTTTCTTGTGTAGCTTTATATACTATTGTACCATTGTATTATTAAAAGCATCATTTGCATATGTATATATATATATATATATATGGATGTAATTTCTATTTCAGCGCTTGAGAAGATTTATCCTGGAGTGCATAATAAATGGCGATTTCATTATTCGTCGTCTCTCTCTCTCTCTCTCTCTCTCTCTCTCTCTCTCTCTGTCGAGCCGTGAGTATAGACAGACGTGCTTAACTTCGCTCTGTATCTGTGACTTGATTTCTGCCGCTGCTGCCCTGTGGGGCGGTTCTTTTTCAGTGCCTGGCACTTTTGGGGCAAACTCTGCTCATTTTGTGAAATCGTCTTGGCCTGGGATGAGTCCTACAATGTGGTAAATGGATTTTTTCTCCTCCGGCCTGCATCGAGTTTTAGTAGAGGAATCCGGT